TAATGTGGAACAGGTTCCTGTATACATAGCAGAAATAGCACCCAAAAATCTTCGAGGAGGACTTGCTACAACAAATCAGGTGAAGGAATATTAAGAATTGTCCTATTTTGTTCTTTAATTAGAACTTTAAAGTTAGGGGCAAGTGAGTTGAATTTTGGCTGACTCTGATTGTTTTGCAGCTATTGATTGTTACTGGAGCGTCAGCTTCATTCTTAATAGGAAGTGTCATAAATTGGAGACAACTTGCACTAGTGGGTAAGTACACAATAACATTAATCTTCAATTGTAGTCTAAGTTGTAATATGGATAGAAAGGTATGAACTATTTTCTTGGTTTGAACTTTGAAGGGCTAGTACCTTGCATTTGCTTGCTGGTTGGTTTGTGCTTCATCCCTGAGTCCCCCAGATGGCTGGTAAGCATTATTCAGCGACTAAGGACCAAATTAATACTCTATTTTCTTCCTGCGAGGAATCTTGCAATGAAAATTAACATGTATGTATTTTTTTTAGGCTAAGGTTGGCCGTGAAAAAGAATTTCAACTTGCTTTAAGTAGTCTTCGGGGTAAAGATGTGGATATTTCTCATGAAGCTGCTGAAATTATGGTACTTTCCAAGCTGATTGAGAGTCTTCAAAGAAATTTCAAAAGAATTTGACATGTTTGTGGCCTTAGATAACTTCTTTTTTTTTGGTTAAATAGGATTATATTGAAACTCTTGAAAGCCTTCCAAAGACTAAGCTGTTGGATTTGTTCCAAAGCAAATATGTGCGCTCTTTAGTAGTAAGTAACACACTTCTCTTGCAGAAATTTAGTGACAATGTACATAAGGACTCAAAAGATCTAAATTATGTTTTTGTCACAATTTCAGATTGGGGTTGGGTTAATGGTATGTCAACAATCTGTTGGAATTAATGGCATAGGTTTCTACACAGCTGAGACTTTTGTAGCAGCTGGTAAGTGAGAAGAGATAAATGCTGGTTTTGGAAAATCAAAAGAAACCTGTCTCATCATTTTGTCATATTTATTTTTCTTCAATTGTTGAATTTGCAGGGCTTTCTTCAGGAAAAGCTGGAACCATAGCATATGCTTGTATGCAGGTAGTTTATCCCTCTACCAGTTTCTAATAAATCAATAATGTGAGTACATTATTCTGTTTGAGCTTCATCTGTTACATTGAATGACAGGTTCCATTTACTATATTGGGAGCCATATTGATGGATAGGTCTGGAAGAAGACCTCTTATAATGGTAAATCTACTTACAAGCACTTATTTATCAAGACCAAGTAAAAGTAACTGGAATAAGAACTTTGATGCTTAAAAAAAGTTCTTGTATTCGCATGCAGGTTTCCGCAAGTGGGACATTCTTAGGTTGCTTTCTTGCAGGAATTGCTTTCTTTCTCAGGGCAAGTCTTCAGTACAAAATGCATTATATTTCAATACTTTTATCCACACATGGAATTTATGCGTCTCTTTATTCTAAAATTCTTCTTTATAAATCAGGATCAAAGCTTATTGCTTGAGTTGGTACCTACATTAGCAGTAACTGGGGTGTTGGTGAGTTTTCTTCTGAAACATCAATTCCCCCCAATTCTATCAAATTCTAGTTTGAACTAAAATTTCCCCATCTTTTGAATCTTATTATGATCAGATCTACGTAGCAGCTTTTGCAATTGGAATGGGACCAGTTCCTTGGGTTATAATGTCTGAGGTATGTATCATTTGACACCAAAAATTATAATGGTATAATAGCCTCTTGCACCATATAGCTAAAGAAGGCTAGTGCTAGCCTTAAAAAACATTCTTTGTCAGCGATGAGAAACAATTTAAAGGGGAGTGCTACTAATATCCTCTCTAAAACACTGATATACATTATCATTAGTTAAAATTTATAAATTACATAATCATGAGAGATATTTATTGAAGAAGGTGTGAGATACAAATTTTGCTATTTTCAGTGAATTTTGTATGTATTTAAAAAATAGTATGTTAGAAACAGTGTCTGAATAGAGATGTTCTTCTATCTAATGCCACTTTTCATATGTCAGATCTTTCCCATAAATGTGAAGGGAACTGCTGGAAGCTTGGTGGTTCTGTTGAATTGGTTAGGAGCTTGGATAGTTTCATTTACTTTCAACTTTCTTATGGATTGGAGTTCTCCTGGTAAGAACACAGTATGATTATAGAAACACAGTCAATTAGCATTCTTTATTTCTTGTGAAATGTATTGATATTGTTTTTTTTCTTTGGCAGGTACTTTGTTTCTGTATGCTGGATGTTCCCTCTTAACCATTCTATTTGTAGCAAAATTAGTCCCAGAAACCAAAGGAAAAACTTTGGAAGAGATCCAGGCTTGCATTAGTTCATAGAGAGAAAGAAGATTACCATCATTTATCAAATTCTTTTAGATCCATTTAGGATTCTCAAGGCATAAAATAACAGAATGTGCCATATCCATTTTTTTGCTGCATAATAATAACATACTATTAGCTTATCTGATAAGAAAAAAATAAAAATCATATTATGTAACACTGTGCCTCTGCTTCTTCTGATTTTTTAATGGATTTATCTTTTACTTTGCAAAAAGTAATTAATTTATTGAAAAAATTCAACCAAGCTTCTTGATGCCATCTTGTTCCAACTTGGAACAGGTGGATAGAGACCTGTTGAGTTTCTATGAAATTTCATGGATTTTAAAAAATGGCTATCAATTACTTTGTGATAATTAATTTGGGATTTTTTTTTCCTTGTTGTTGCAATATTGACATGAAAATTTAAATTGAAGAACTTACCATGTTCTTCCTCATCAATTTACTTTTCTTTTTTAAATGGATGATAATTATTACCTTAACCAGATACAGCATAAATTTACTTTACTTCTATACATGTGTTTAAATTTAGTGCATTTCTGGACAATCTATTATTATTCCTTTATATTTATTTTTAAATTTAAAAAGTAAAAAAATTATTATTATATTAAATATTTAAAATTGAAATAAATGTTGTTTTTAAAAATAATAAATAAAAGAGAAATGGAAGTGGTATAAAAACCAAAACAATATAAAAAGAAGGTTGATTATGTCTACTAAATAAATAAAAAAACTGCAGATTATGTGATTATTAAAATACTTTCTTTTCTTACTACTATGGTTTGGGAATATATATTTTACAAAATTGCACAATAATTATTTTGATGAGAAAAAAAAACACATCGAAAAGTAGACATTCCAATTAAATACTTACAATAATTATCTGACTATCCCATAATTCACAACGAATTTATTTCACTTTTTAATATTTAACTTAGAAAAGTGTTTAATAATAGACTAATTAATGTCATATAATCTTGGTAATTTATTTTATTTCAGACGATAATAATATTAATTGGTAATAATTATTTAATAAATTGACTTTTCACACATCTATTGAAAATATATCACTCTTCGTTCGAATTAAATGATACGAATTTCTAATATTTATCATCACTTAATATTTATTTATATAATTTGAATTATCAATAAAATCTCAATATCTTATCGAATTTATCAATTTAGTAGCAACTACTAATTTTCATATCAGATCTCAATTTTTCTATTGAAGCTTTCAGCACATACTTGTATTTGTTACCTTATCAAATAAAATATTAAAGACATTTATTATATTATTTTAATACTTTAAAACTTAATAAGAAAGATGTAATTAGACAATTTCAATATAAAAACATTATACCAACATCTCTAAGGTAAGCATCAATCATAGAGTTTAAAGCCAAAAATATCAATCTAAATGTCAAAACCACAAAGAGCCACCCAATTTGAACGAGTATTTCAAGTTTAAGAGTGCTAAGCCTAGAGATGAGCACTAGAACCATATAAAACCACCCAAAATTAAACCTAGAATTGCGTACTAAGCCTGAAGTTAAACATCAGAACCCAATTTGGATGAACATCTATCCCTCAATTGTTTGGTATGATAATCATTACTTCTAACTGATCTAACCTAAAAAAGCTTACCTTATTTTAATCACATAATGGAAGATAATGTGACTAGAATCATATCTATACTTCTTTAGCTGAGACACATTGCATAAAGTGATGGAAAAATCATGCTATACACCTACAAATTTAGTGTGGTCTAATAACTTAATGACGGAATACACATTTTCAGTAAATCTGTCAATATGTGAGCAATAGATCGTCTTCTTACAGTGATCAGATTTATGAGGATGATAGGTTGAATATGAAAATTATTCGTGAATAGGTTAGTTTATCTTAATTTAAGTTTGAGCTTGACTCTTCTCTATGGGAGTCTGTATCACCTTGTTTGTGTACCTGACGTATGCAAATAAAAATTTGAGAAGAAACCAAGCAAAGCCAAGGAAATGAAGGGCCTTTGAAACTTCTAATTTTCCAATATTTAATATTCATCATTTTCAATTTTCATCACTCACACGGCACACTGCAACACCAAAACCCAAGCAAAGCAAGTGATTCAATTCAAGACTCAACTTCGTGTTCGAATAGGTCACCTTCTTCAATCTCTAATAACCCCTTTGTGAATTTATTTATATTTCAATTTTCACTTTAACTGTCTGATCAGTGACGCTGAATTGAGTTTCATTTTGGTACCCAGATATTCGTTTTCCTTTTAATTCTCGTAGTTGGACACAAATTCCGTTCTTTTTGTTCAGTAAATTCGTTTTCTTCATTCTCACACCTACCCTTTTGTTGCATACCACCAGAAAGGACCACAATTGAAAAACGTTTGGTTATCAGCGACGTCCGTTTTTACTTTATTTCATTTGGCCTGCTTCTTCACTGTGTGAGGGTGAAGGGGTTCTGTTTGGCACTGAATCTTAGTTTTGAATGTTGAAACTCATTTTGGGTTTGAAATACTTCAAAATGATAAGATTCTCCGTATATTGTTGCATATTTGTAGTTAAAAATTTATCTGGCTCAGGGTTTTTTATTGGACTTGATGCTTTCAGGATATAGAGAGGGAATTATGAGTCGGTTGAATAAAAATAAGAGTATTTGTAGTGATGGTGGTGCCAGTAATGAATCTTCTGCAGGGGGAATAGCTGGAGAAAGTGATAGTCATCTTGATCATGAAATTGCACAGCTCACAAAACTTAGGTCAAGTCCCCATGAGCTTTTTGGGCGTGCTTTGTCTGGTAGGATGAGGTTACCTGCATCTACTGTGAGAATGTTAGTTGGTAGAGAATGTAATTTTTCTGGAAGAGGGAGATTTTCATCAGCTGATGGATGTCATGTGTTAAGCCGCTATTTGCCTACCAAAGGTCCTTGGATTGTGGATCAGATGAAAAGCCGTGCCTATGTTTCACAGTTTTCTGATGATGGTTCTCTTTTTATTGCTGGTTTCCAGGTTATTATTACCATTATCACTGTAATTAATGTAATTGTATGTTTAAATTAAGTATGAAGCTGAAGATGATTCTGTTAAATTGAAGAGTTATGTACTAGTACAAAAAGGGCTTCTAGATCTTCATTTTTAGTTGTCTATGCTTTGTTATAAAACAGGGAAGCCACATCAGGATCTATGATGTTGATAGGGGCTGGAAAACTAAAAAGGACATCTCTGCTAGAAACTTACGGTGGACAATTACTGATACATCTCTCTCACCAGATCAACTCTATCTTGTAAGTTTGAGTTGATTGCCAATGGAAGGAGTGTTCATGGATATTACTAGGATTAAGAATTTGCTGTTATAAGCAACCAATTTTGACCTTGGCTTGTGAATGTGGATATGTGTGAGCTATTAACCTCTTTGTTTCTTTTAACTTCTTGCAACTCACATTTGACAATTTGTTAATTATTTATTGAAGGTTTATGCCAGTATGTCACCAATTATCTATATTGTTACTGTGGGATCTGCAACAACAGAGTCAATAGCAAACATTACAGTATGTACTGAAACTTTCTCACTCTCATACATAATACTGCCAACGATACATAGTTTCGTAGCTTTTTAATGTTGTAGAGTGGTAAGCAAATGGTATTATTACAGTTACGTTCCTAGTTGTGTGAAGATCAACCAGTGGCTAATGCAAAAGTTGGCTCCTTTTTCAAAGTAATTCAACTCTGTAAAATAACGAAAGGCTTCTAAGAATGGAAAAAATTTGTAATGTAGTTTGTTAAAGATGTAACCTTATTGTTGTAACTAAGTAGCATACATAGATTGTTCTTATGCTTTAAACCTCCAACTTAATATATTTTCTGATGTCTGTATCGATAATAAAGAAAATACCCTATATTGGTTTCCATCTGTTTTTACCTAATTTATCCTTGAATTGCATATTATCACTTCTTTTATTTATCCCATTTTCTATTCAACATTTATTCTCTCTCTTCTTTCAATAAAAAATGCGGGCATTGAGTGCCTTTTTTCCACCAGTAATGTATGTATGGATCTGTGTGTATACACACATTAAATAATTGTTTGCTTTACATTTAGGAACCTTTCTACGATTGCAGGAAATTCACCATGGATTAAATTTCTCTTCCGATGAAGATGATGATGAATTTGGAATTTTCTCTATAAAATTTTCAAAGGATGGTCGAGAGCTTGTGGCTGGAACTAGTGACAGCTCAATATGTGTATATGATCTTGGAGCAGATAGGCTTAGCCTTAGAATTCCTGCTCACCAGGTATCATATACTATTTGGTATAACAAGTTGCTAATTTTGAATAATTAAAAAAAGCTTTAAATATATGAGGATAGTAATTAAAAGTTGGCTAACTGCTTAAAATCTGAATAATAAATGACTAAATTTACATATTGTTTCCAGTACCTATCAAAATTGAGTCATGGTTCATTTTTGGAATAAAGTTAGGGGTTTTGGGAAGGCAGCTAAATTTTGTGTCTGACAATCCTCTCTGCCTGCTCCTTAATATTTGTAGAATGTAGAATCATCGCAATATAGTGAATCAAGGTGGACCTTTATTTGCGAGCCTGGAAGGTGGATCATATCTGATGTGCCTTTTTCTTGTTGCAGTCTGATGTTAACACTGTCTGCTTTGCTGATGAATCTGGCCATCTAATATATTCTGGAAGTGATGATAGTTTCTGCAAGGTAATATTCATATTTTGGTGAAAATGAATTTGATAACTTCCACTAATTTCTTTGCCGGCAGTGATATTTTTGTTTAATGCATGTCTTTATTCCATCGTTGGTGAGTTAAGTTTATAGTACCGATCATGCCATTAGAGCAATTATTAGGGCCTGTCTGGACAAGTCTCTTAATAAAGATTTCTTGAAGAGAAAATACGAACTGAAAAATGAAATTGACTTCTCCATTAGTTTAAATTAGCTTATACACAAGTTAAAATAAAAATTTGGAGAAGCTATATGACATTGCTTCTTAACTTGTGCATAAGGTGATTTTAACTTATGGAGAAATTCATTTCATTTTTTTTCTTAGCTTGCTTTCTAGAAGTTCTTGTGGACAAGTTTGTCCACACAGACTCTTAGACTGTTATGGTGAAAGCGTAGTTGATTCAATTTGATCTCTAATAGCAGTGCAATTAACTTGAGTTTATTTTAAAGCTAAATATATAGTTTTTGTTGTTTCATCTTCACTTAAACCAAGTATGTTGCCATAATTATGAAGAATTGATGATGTCTGAGGAGTAGGCTGTTACAGAGCAATACTATATATAAATGTGTAGTAAATTTTACTCTTAAATATTATTTTAATTCATATGTCTCATGGGATACTTGAATTTCATTTTTCTTTTACTTCTAGTGGACCAACTTCAACTAACTTGAAGACTGGCATGTAGGTGTTTTCTCTGGGGAATTTAATATTTTAATATTACAATTTGTTTTTGTTTTTTTTTTTAAATGTTTATGAGGAGCAATTGGGGAAGGGCTTTTTAGTATAAATCAAATTAACTTTCTCGAAAGTGTAAAATGAACCAGCATTTAGGTGCGTTCTCCAAGATTATGTGTTTCTTGATTTTTTTTTTCCTTGAAAATATAGTGGTGCAAAATACATTGGTGATTTCCAAGCAAGGATATATTTTGGAATGTATTTTTTTCTTTCAAATTAATCAAATTCTGCAACTAGAACTCTCCTAAAGAACGACTTCTCCATGAAATACTCAGCATTTGGTTAAATATGACATATAAAATAAGTATATATTTATGAATGTTGTTGCATCTCATGGTGCAAGCTCAAGGACAATGTTCTTTGAAGCTTAGACCTGGCTCATAACTAATGAGCTGAAGATTTAACATTAGCTCTCAAGTTGCGGCTCATTAACACTACTAATAATTTTCAATGCTTTTATTTTTCATTAAATTGCTTTGGTTTTTTTGCTTGCAATCACTGATTGAAGGAATTCATGGCTGTTGTGACATTTTGCAGGTGTGGGATAGGCGTTGTTTTGTCTCCAGAGGACAACCAGCTGGTATCTTAATGGGACATTTAGAAGGCATTACATTCATTAATAGCCGTGGGGATGGTCGATATTTAATTTCGAACGGAAAAGATCAAACTACCAAATTATGGGATATAAGGAAGATGACTTCTAATGCTATAAAGTAAAACTTTTTTATCTCTCACTTGCTTACGTATATTCAGAGTTATGCTAATGAATTTTATAGTTTCTCTCTGTAACCTGAAATGTTTAACAGTTGAACTAAGAAAGAATAAAGACAAAAAACTAACAGTAATTTGAAAAATTACATTGAGTCTGATTGATTCTATTGCTAACCCCTTGTAAATGTTTTTCTGGTTCTGGACTGTGATGTGAACAATTGGACTGAGAATTCTGTAGTTCACTGGTGCTGCATGAATAGAACTTAGTCTTTCAAATGATATATGGGATGATTATTAATCTTAGTTGTTGATAATTGTAAAGCTGAACTCATTTTCAATATGAGTATGTTGTTATGCATAGACTCACTACTCATTGTAATGAATGTTGATCTGGCATGGTATAACACTTGGGTTGAAGAAAAATCGAGAAATGTTACAACTTTTTATTTTCCTTCTACTCTGAGATGTGTATTCAAGAATGTTGTTTATTACATAAACCAACAGTCTGGGTCTTGGAGATGATGAGTGGGACTACCGGTGGATGGACTACCCTGAATATGCAAGAAATCAAAAACATCCTCATGATCAGTCATTGGCAACATATAAAGGTCACACGGTGCTGCGTACTTTAGTGCGCTGTTATTTCTCACCTTCATACAGGTTACTTGTCTGAACTTTCTTGCTTTGGTATATCCTCGTTCTTTTACATGATATAAGATTCAATCTCATCCAACATATTTAGATGTTGATATTGCTTATGATGTTTTGTATTTATTATTTTCATATCAAAATGGTGATATATTTTATAGTACGAGGCTAGGATGTGACTGTGTTACATTGTCGTCCATTTTTTTTTATTTGCAAAATTTGTGCATCTTCTTGCATCATTAGATTATAAAAGCTAGATTTGAGTTAATATAACAAGTTGCCTCTGGAGTTGGGACTAAATGCTGCTGAGAGGATATATTTTTCATGGAAGAATCATATTGGTTTTTCAGGATTGTGGTCATTCTTGAAAAATTTTCTCCAAAGCCCTTTATGTTTTCAGAAACATGGATAAAATATACTCGCGATGGCACATTGGAACTTATAAACTCTTTTCCAGTTTAGGTGGTTTCATTTCTGTACGTTTAAATTTTTATTCATTTTTACTTCTAGTGGATTGACATAGATGAGTGACACCTTTTGTTTAACATATTTGCAATATTGGTTGGTTGTTTTGTGATGATGTTCCATGTTCTCTCAGCATCCTTTGTTTTTCTTGAAGAATGTGAATGACATTGTGTATTCTTGTTGCAGCACTGGTCAAAAGTACATTTATACCGGGTCTAGTGATTCCTCTGTATATATATATGACCTGGTAAAAGGAAATTTCTCAGAAATTTTATCAGTAGTTAACTGCATTTGTATGAAGATTTGGGTTAATCATTTTAAATATTGTAGGTAAGTGGTGCTCAAGTTGCAAAACTTGATCATCATGAAGCACCTGTACGAGACTGTAGTTGGCACCCTTATTATCCAATGATGATCTCTTCAGCATGGGATGGTCACATTGTTAGGTGGGAATTTCCAGGGAGAGATGAAGCCACTGCTGCTCCCTATAAAAGAGCAGGTCGAATTCGTAGAAGAAATTTGCGTGATCTATAGTTCATGCTCTTTGTACACTGTGTCTCTTTTGTATCCATAATATATTTTGCTAATTCTATGCAAGTTACGTGTCTTTCTTCTAACTTTCTCTATTCTCCTACAGTTAGGTAAAGAAAGGGTCCCGAAATTTTTTTACATTTATTTATTTATACCTTGTTCTTCACGTTTTGTAAGCCTATGTTGAGGCCATGGTTAATGTAAAATGCTGTTCCCTAGTGTATTTTTGCCTTCATACTTTCCATTATATTCATGACAATGAAATTTATCTAAGATCAACTTTAATAATAATAAAAAATGTCAATTACAAGTTATATATATATATATATATATATATATATATATATATATATATATATAATTTAGATTGAATAAAATTCAAATAAAAATATTTTTTATTCTTTTACTTTTTCAACTCTTCGGCACTCAAAGGGAACTCCTTGACCATGATCAGAACACGTGCCCACAAAAACTGAGCCAGTTTGGGCCTTGGCCCAGAAATCTGGTTGATGGATTCGTTTTGTTATCGTTATAATTTTTTGTAATCTTTTTCTTTCACCAACCAATTCCTTTTCCCCCTTTCTCCCATGTCCTCAGTGCAGCCAAACATTGCATGGCGACAAATACATATTTTCCAGTTCCATGAACATTATGGCAAAAGACCAAGAGAAATGAGTGTACGTGAAAATAGGCAACATTTTATTGGCCAATAGAAAGTGCACTTTAGACAATTTTACTGATGAATTAATATTTGATTGTTCTAATCTAATCAATGATATTAAATTTTGAGTCTTATAATTATATAGTACACGGCATCTTTCTGAAAATAATTGGACATTTTTTTATCATGGATTAGAATTGTTTTTTATATTTATATATATACGGTAATATTTTGTCACTTGTTATATTGGACTTGATTTAAGAAAAGAATTTTTTTTTTAATGGGTCTCACTTTCAACTAGATTTGAAGGCAGCAAATCCAGAGAATTGACCATATATAATTTACAAGACATTTGTTCATCCTTTCCAAAGTGTCATGTTTGACTACTGAAGTAATTCATAAATAAGTATGCATTAGCCAAGATTAATCATTTCACCACATCAATAACTGCAACATCTTCGCATGCCATTGGTGATTAGATATGACTTTTTGTTTCACTTCTGAAAATGAGTTTTAAAATATCACCATGTGCTTTAAGTGCATAAAAATTAATCTTTACAATCAAATATGTATTAAGGGTTTAGTTTTATTTGCATCCTAAAGTGGATCATGAAAGATTTGTCATTCGTATGAAATGCATGCTCGTGTGTGCATTGAGGATTCATCATTGTCAGCATGCACTTGAAAGATCCGCGTGAGTTAGTTTCCTCCCCAAAAACACACTGAAACTTCTCATCGATTCATTGGCCAATGTTTTCATTCTAGTAATCATTTTATATTATAATATATGTGCAACACAAACTTAGGTCAAATATCCATTCTCGGATTATGCATACAATTCTGTGAAGTCATGTCTCTTTTTAAGGCATTTGCGTGCTTGAGATGAAGTTTAAGGTCAACTTTAACCTCCGTTGTGGTGTGCAATAATGATTTTGATGGAATATTATTGGGTGAAGGAGTGTGATGCCTCTACATTCCAACCACCCCATCAATTAAGTTGATAAAAGGACAGACTCATTAAGCTTCACGAATCATGGTTCATGGAAGATGGGAACAACATTATATCCCGCTATGAAAAAATATATATGATAAGATGACACACAGTTCTGTTTCTGCAAAAGGGTTTATCATTAAGTTTTTGGTATTCAACAAGATAAAGAAAAAAAAAGAAAAAAAGTATTCATCACAAGCTATTGGTTTCAAAAAGCAATGGATTAAAGTGACACGCGTGTTTGTATATGGATAAGAAGAAGCAAGAAATCAGCTTTGTTGGCTAAATAGTGTTTTTGATTTCTATCCAAAATTATCTTTGAAAGAACATTGATCATGAACATAAAAGTATCTATACTTAGCATATATTTTAAAAGCGATTAAAGAGAAAAAAAAAATGGATGCATAAAAGAAAAGATGGATGTTTTTTAGAGTTTCACGTGTCCAAAGTTTATGAGGGATTAATGAAGGACGAAAGCACGAGGCTTGACCCAAGCTAAAGAGAGGCATTTGTCGCAAAAAGCATAACATCTTTTGATGCATAAATTTACCAAAGTTGTTTTCAACATCTTTATTTTTCTTCTTTTTCAATCTATCTTTTCTTTTTCTTTTTCTTAATCAAAATATTCAATTTATGATGGTCAATTGAGTAAAGCTCTATTGCAGGTTTTGTAGAATAATAATAATAAAAAAAAACCCTTATAAGAAGAACAATTGTTAGAGACAGAATTTTTGTCAATACATTTTAAATAGATGGATTAAATATTCATTCATAAAAATTATTAATATGTGACACTAATAGTTTTTCTTTAATTGCATAGTTTAAAGCTATAATACATTTTTAACATAATATAAATAGACTAATTAATGATTTTCTTACTATCTATTTTAATCTAACTAAAAATTTATCCAAATAATTCTTTAGTTATTGTTGTTGATGAATGACACAGCAAACCCCAACCATTCAATTTTCAGATAACTCCAACTACACACTCTGAAGATAAGAGTAAAAGAAGGTAAGAAAATTTTTAGGAATATGCTCTTTCAAATATCTTCCTTTTTATTGAAACGTTTTAATAAAAAATATGAATACATTTTTATTTATTGAATTTCATTCATAATTTTATAATTTTTAGTAATGTTCCAATAATATAAAATATATTAAAAAATAACTATAAGGGCTTAATAGCCTGATAAACTAAAGTAAAATGCGAAGATGTGAAGGCAAAGAAAAAGGATAGCATAAAAAATATTAAGGGAAATGGACAAACAAATTTTTTTTTCTTTTTAAAGGATCTTAAAAATAATTAAGATTTTTTATTTTTATTATTATTTTTAGAGAATATAGCATCTACACCTCCCTTTCTTAAGTCATGTTATTGTTAATTTTTCTTTAAACAAACAATGTGACCTTTTTATGCTTAATGGTCCAATGGTGATAAAAACCATCTTTATATTTTGTTTCGACGATGTGAAAGAAAGTGAAAAAAAAAGAACTTATTTAGATTAAAAGAAAGAAAATAAAATATTTTTTATTATTTTAATATATATTTTTTTAAATTATTTATTATTATTATTATTATTATTATTATTATTATAATAAATCAACAAAAGAAAAAATATAATCGATTGTAGGGCTTTAATCAATTATGCACAGAAAGAACCTTTAAAACACATAATATTTTGGTAATGTAAAATATGTTAAAATAACTTTTTTTTCCTCAAATCTCACAAGAATTACAAAGGAATGTTGTGGGTCTCACATAGTAATAAGTTCAAATTAGTATTTATAAGTAGAAATAAATATTATTATTTTTATTCACTCGCTTATAATAAGAGATAAGAGGATAATTTTATAAATATTATATATTTATTATGATGATTATAGTGAGATATAATAATAAAAAAATTTAACTATCAAAATAAATAGTTTATTATTTGAGTTTTATTATAACGTAAGTTCTGTAGGTAAAAAAGAAATTAATCATTTTTCGCATTCAAGTAATTTACAATACATTTCTTCCATGCATTTTTATTACTTCTTCATTTTTTTTAGTCTTACAACCTTCTTCATTGTTCATGGTCTCTGTAGGTAAAAACTTTTTTTTCTTTTTTTCATTTGAATTTGAGATAATTTGTTTTTTCACGTTCTTCTTTGAATTTGTGTAGTTTTATTATTTTTTTAATCCTTCACAACTTTTTTTATCCTCTTCATCATCATAATATTATCACCTTTCAATATTCGCTTCGTATCATTTTCTTAGATATGGACAAAGTAAGTTTCATCGTTCATATGATTTGAGATTTTGAATAGGGCAAGAAAAATATTCGATTGTGTAACCATTCTATTAAAAAATAACATAAAAAATTAAATTATTACGTTAATTATTGCTTATTCCATGTTAAAAATTTTATATTATCTAGATTTATATGATTATAAAACTCGTCTAATCAATTTAAAATAATGAACATAAAAAGTATTTTTGTAGTCATAGATTCAATTGTATAAAAAAATAATTAATAAAAACAAATTAAACACTTAAAAATCTAAGATTTTTATTTTCAAAAAAAAAAAACTAGCAAATTAAACGCTTAAAAAAAATTAAAAATTTTAATTTTTATAAGATTAACCTAAAAATATATAGACGGTGATGTCAACTCACATTAAAGTTGTTTGTGCATCTACTTTTAGAAACTAACAACATGCATTAAATATTGTGAATTTCTTGCAGTAGAATATAAATTATGCTTAAAATTAAAACAAATGTGACTGAAATACATATTTTTTTAAATAATTATTGATGTAAAGAAAAAACAAAATTTATTCACTAAAAAACAGAAAATTACATTTTTTAATAAGTAAATTATACAAACACGTGAAAAATTGAAATTTTCTTATTCTATTAAACAATTGGTAAAATAATAAAAAAACTCACCTCTACTTCAATATCTACTAAAAAATAATTTAAAAAAATTATTATTATATATATATATATATATATATATATAAATAAATAAAGAAGGAGGTAATTTATTTCAAGAATAAAGATTAAAGACTTCATTTTTTTATTTTTTTATTATTTTTAAATAATATAATAATTAATTTTAATGATTAGATTAAAATAATAAATGGTAAGATGAAGAGTAAATTTTCAATTTTTATTTATAAAAAGGTAATTAAAAGAAAAAACATAAGTCAATTTTTAAAAGGAAAGATTTATTTCTTAAATTAATATTAAGTTGCAATCAAGCCATTGGAGTCATTTGAATCTGAAGACTAATTAATGAAATTTCTATATATAGTGGCAAGTAGTGGCCTGTCCCATTGCATCAATAAAAATATTTCACTTTT